GGGATGGTCCAATGCGCTGGTGGTAGCCACTTACGACACTACCAACAGTCGTTGACCACTGCGGGGACGCGGCCGAGGATTGCCCGCGGCATGTTGGCTGCTCGTAGAGATCGCGTCATTTCCCTCCACAGCGGCGCGCCACCTCCGGAGACGCAGCTTGCGTTGCCCCCGCATTCGCGTCTCGCGCGAGTCACCACGTAGCGCTTGCAGCGACGCGGCGATGTCGAAGCGAGTCCAGTCTGCAGGCGCTGGGCCTCTCACAAAAGCGTCGGCACCACGCGGTGCTGGACGTCTCGGTGCTGCGCCGGTTTCTGGACTGGCTCGCGGTCGCGGCCCAGCAACACAATTGCCGGAACCACATCCCTGAGCCCCAGCGCAAGGCCGGTGGTGACCTACTGCCGGCGCCGGCGGTGGGAGAGCTTCCTCTGCTGCACCGAGATCGGCTCCCCCATGCAGTTGAGCTTGCAGATCGCTGGAGTGGCGCGGCCCTCACTCGCGGCTGTGCCGGCGCTCGCTGGCGCTGGCTGGCGCGCGGGCGCGGCCGCTTGTCATGGCCCGCGAACCTGCGCTCGCTGAACTCCCGGGCGCGCGCTCGGCGATCGCGCTCCTCTTCCTCGCGGCAGCCTGGGCATTGCCAGTGTACTGGGGCGCTACGAGGGCGCTGGCGAGAGGCCGGAGCTCGGGAACGCATAGGCGAGTCTGATCGCCTGTTGTGCCGACGCGCCTTCCACGAGTAGCGCGCTCGCTCAGCGGCCACGGCATTCCTGATTTCGCCCTCTGTGGCCCTGGAGGCCACTGCAGGGGAACCCGCCGGCGCCGCCGTCGCATTCGAGAACATAGTTCCCCGGATATCCCCTCCAGCAGCACTGGGTTAAGAAAAAAGCTCCGAGCCTAGGAACCCTGCGCGCGAGGCTACGGAGGCGCAGGGGTAGACGATGGCAGCAGCGTCGAGACGATGAACGACCCCGTGATTTTGGCGTGAGCCGCGCTGCTGGGCCTCGCCTGGCGTGGCCGCCGGCGAGGTCTGCATCGGGAATCGAACTCTATGCACCGACGCTTCTTCCGCCCCTGCTTTCGAATTTGCACTGGAGAGCGGATACTGGTGCATACGATTTCCGCTGCTTCCACGGAACATCGGGGGAAACCGCATATACCACACCACCCCAGCGTCGCCCTCGACCCCCAAGAAATCCTGATTGAAAAACAGCCCGCCACTGGTAATGTATATGTTCCAGTTTTGGACTCAAGGCGCACTAAGCGGGCCTCCGCCGCCCTCCTTGGAAGAAAAATAACCGGCGCGCGCTGCATGCGCGCCGGGCTCTCACCGCACTGCCGGCGCGCGCCCCTGCGCATGCCGGGCAAAATCGCGCGCCGCAGGCGACCTGTTCACAGGCGCGCCCAGAGGGGGACTGGCAAGTGCCCCCAGCTGGCCACGCCCCTCCAGCTGCCAGCGGACGCAGCGCGGCATTGCCAGCGGCCCCCTCGCCCCAACGCCCGGCGCCAGGCCGCCGCCGCGGTGTCGCCGCGCACCTCTGCGCGCCAGCGACGGCCCCATCTCCTGGCCCCCCACCCCCCTGGCCGCGACTGCGGCAAGGTTCGGCGCCTGACAGAGGCGGCTCCGAGGAGCGCCGCCTGGCCCCCCCGGCCGGCGGCGCTGACGTCGCGGGGCAGCTGCCCCCACCAGACTGGAGAGGGGCCAGGCCCAGCCCCCAGCGCACCTTGCGCCTGGCTTCTCGAACCGGCGCTCCGGTGGCGCCCTGAGCCTCCCAACGCGACGGTCTCTCACTCCTGGTGATCTTTTCGGGGGTGGGCGGGCTCCCGCGTCACCTCGAAACCCCCGTGGAAGTGGCACAGGTCCACGCACCTGCACTGCGCCACGCTGTAGCAAACTGATCCTTGCACCCCAGCGTCGCAGCGGCTCCTCCCCGGGCGCTCCGTCTCCCCCGCGCCCCCTTGCTAGCACGCGGCCTGCTCGCCAGCTGCTTCTCTTCGGCCAGCCGGCTGCCGCGGAACACCTTGCCAGCGAGCCAGCCCACCAGCACGGCGGCCACCGGCAACCCCAGCAGCGCCGGCAGCGCTGGGCCCCTGGGATGATCAGGACGAAGCGAAGCCCATCCTCGGACAGCGGCAGCGACACCGCGCCGGGAAGCTCGCTCGAGAGCGCCACTGGCCCCCCCGCCGCCCGCCCCGCTGCCGTCGACAGCGCGGCCGCGGCCAGGGCCGTGGCCGCCCGTCTGTCGCTCGCGGCCCTCGCCTGGCCGATTCCCGGCCTGCGGGCCACCTCCTCTGGGTCCGCCCCTGATGCAGCCCCTCCTTGACCTGCAGCTGGGCCTGTCCTCGGCTGGGTGATCTCCGAGGCACGCACTGCGCCACGCCGCACATGGGCTCGTGGGCCCCCCCCAGGCATGAGTGGAAGGTGTCCGAGGCCTACCTCCCGAACCTCTTGACTCACACTCTGGGGGTCGCCGACAACATGGCACATCGACGTAGCCCCGCCAAGCCGCAGGCCGCGGGGGCCCAGGTCTTCGCGCTTCATCCCAGCGGCCAGGGCAGCCACCACCAGGCAGCGTTGGACCTCCTCGCGCTGGCTGTAGTCGCCGCTGGTCCACCTGAGCAGCGGCTGGCTCTTCTCGCCCCCCCTCAGCCTCTCTGGGAAGTGCAGCTCGTAGAGCTCCAGGGCGAGCACTGGGCAAAGCGCGGTGCCAGTGAGATACTGGTTCCTCACGCAGCCCTCGTTACACTGATCGGTCTTCGAACCCTGGATGTGCACCACGATCTCCGCCGCGCCCTTGCCGAGGAGCACGCCCTCGTCGTTCGCGCCCCGGCCCTCGAGGCCCTCGCCGCGCAGCACGCGGTCGACGCTCCAGCCCCGGCCCTGGACGAAGTAATCGGACGCCCTCAGCATGACGAGGAAGGCCAAGTTCAGCGCCATTCACAGCGCCGCCGCGCCCAGGGCCATGATTCCAGCACGAAGTCCCGGAGCCAGAGGAGCACCCGTGGGGTCACTGGCCTCTCGTGGCCACTGGGCCCCTGCCACCGCTGCAGCCCGGCCAGGGTCGACCACAGGCGGGCCATGTGGAGCAGCGGGCCGCAGTACCCCACCACCAGGTGCGCGCACCTGATGGCGAAGAGCTTCTTCACCGCCCCGACGGTGCGCCCGAGGACCCGGGCCAGCACGATCACGAAGCCGATCAGGGCGTCCTCGTCGGCCCTGCGCACGGCCCGGTCGCCCCTGTACACAAGGGCGGAGGATACGGGTACGTTCTGGCCCCAAGGGGCCCGAGCAAATCCATGCCCACCGCCTGCCCAGACCCACGAAGATGGATCCCCCAGGCGGTGGCTATGTCACGAATCCCCGCATCGGACTCCTGCCGGTCGAGCGGCGAGCGCTCTATCAGCTCGGCATTCACCTCCTCCTCCAGCAGATGCTGGCGGAGTTCCTCCCAGCGCCAATTCCTCCTCACCTCCTCTGCGCCGTACTGATCCCAGTTCACCCAGATCTTGCTGCGGAGCTTCCACTGCTGCTCGTCGCCGACGTCTGCGCAGACGGCCAGGAGGCCTTCGTCGCAGCAGATCCCGACGTCCCCCAGCAGCTCCTCGTCCTCGAGCATGCGGCCACCCCAGGCGAGCCAGCCAACGATGCGACCAGCCGGCAACTGCGCCGCGGCGTCGATGCTCTGCCGGACCTTCCCGACGAGGGCCCCGAGCCCGGCCCTGACCTCCGCCAGGACGGCCCCCGAGGGCAGCCGCGCCGTGAGCAGCACGGTCTCCGAGCCGAAGAAGCAGCTGCAGCGGAACTCCAGCGGCGCAGAGCAGCAGCAGCATGGGGACTCCTGCAGGTCGGCAGGGAGGACGGTCGGCGGTGGACAAGCCTCCCTTTCGTAAACCTCCCCTTGGTGAAAACGGCCTGGGACCCAAACTGGCGGACCTGGACCCGCAGAAATGACGGTGGCGACGCCCTCTCGCGGACCGAAAACGGCCAATTCCTGAATCGACGTGTCAGAGGTCTATCCACCCCCGAGACGGGTCGGGGCAGCAGGCGTGGGCGGGCGGGACGGTCGGGAAGCATGGGCTCTTTAGCAGGGAAGGCGGCCCGTCCGCGGGGGGAGGCTGCAAAGACAGCTCGAGCAGGAGTCGGTTGCGCCAGAATGGCTACGCATGAGAATGGCTACCGTGGCGCGCGCGCGTGTAGCACGCTGCCGATAGCCACCGCCTGCGCCCTCCATGGGCTCGCCTTCGGGCGCGCGGGCTTGGCCCCTTGACCCCTTGATGATGGCGACGATGAGGATGCTGAGGATGTAATGATGATGATGCCGATGATGGTGGTGGTGATGATGCTGGCTTCTTGCGCACGCAACGTGGGCTTTCTGCGTCGAAAGCGCGGTGTCCCAGAGTGCCACCTGCACTGAGGAAACTACTGCTTAAGTTTCTCGCATGGGTTCCACCACGCTGCGAGAGTGTGCTCCGGCAGAGCACCAAACGTGCACTGGAGCACCAGTGTCCACACGCAGAAGGGTGGAGAAAACATCCAAAGTCTCTCTAGAAACCGAGCAGGAACTCACGCATCGCACGCCAAGTCATGAGACAGGTGGCGGGATCCTGAAACAGACAGACGACTCAAAACTGAAAGTTCTGACAGGCCTCTCTAGGGGTCTCTCGAGAGACCGAGCAGAAACTACTGATTGGCTGCCAAGCCACCGAATGAGCGGTGAGAGCGGTGAGATCCTAGAAAAGGCGCTCGACCCAAAACTGGCAGTTCCAAAAGTCCAGGCAGAAGAGCACCTGATAAAACTGCTCGGCGAGTCACCCAAGGGGCGACCAGGTCTGAAAACAGACGTCCAGCAAACCAGACCGGCGCTTCCGAATGCGGATGAAAACCTGGCACGTTCAAACGGCCACGCGCGCCGAAGCGCTCGGAGCTATCAGCGGCGGCTCGCGGCGCCGTCCGCCCGAGCCCCCAGCTGAGTGATGCGGGAGCGCGCCGCCCGAACTCCCCCCCCTCACGCCTGGACGTAGAAGTCGCCCACGCCCGTGGCGCCGTGCGCCCGCCGACGCGAGAGCAGCACCGCGCCCGCGCCCAACGCCGCGCAGAGCGCGAACGGCGCGGCCGACGCGGCCAGCAGCTCCGCGTGGCGCACGGCGGGCCCGGCGCCCTCGGCGCCGAGCTCCAGCTGGCCGCGCGCCGCGCCGACCGCCCTCGCGAGGGACTCGCCGGGCTCCAGGTCCGACGCGGCGTACGTGGGCACGTCCAGGATGAGGTCCGCAGCCCGCTCCGCCAGCATCAGCACCTCGGGCATCGCGAGGTACGGCGTGCTGGACGGCAGCACGGACCCGTCCACGATGCGCAGGCCCCGAATGCCGTGGACCCGCAGCGTCGGATCGACCTGAGGGGGCGACTGAGAAGGACGACGACGACGACGACGACGACGACGACGACGACGACGACGACGACGACGACGACGACGGCGGCGACGACGAAGACGACGGCGGCGGCGGCGGCGGCGGCAGCGGCGACGACGCGACCGCGGCGCCCTGGAGGGCAGGGCACCGTGGACTCTGGGAGATCTCTGGGAGGACCGAGCTCCTGCCGTGGCGACGACCGCCCCCGGTGCCTGACGCCGCGCAGGCCGCTCCACGCTGGACGACCGCCCAGGCAAGAGTGGCCTTTGGTGCGCGACTGTCGGGGGCCGCGGGGAGGCCGAACCGGAGCGCGCCGGCTGATGCTACAGTGCGAGCGCGACCGCAAGAAACCCCCGCGAGAAACCCAACCCTGAAAACCCGCGCGCGAGGCGCACCGGGAAAACCGGAGCACCCTGAACGCAGCAGCTCCTTCAATGGCCGCGGGAAGTCGCCGCGCAGCGCGCGGAGCGAAGAAACCCAGGATACCCTGACGAAAAGCATCTGGTTTCTTGATGCGCACCTCCACTGTATCGCATCGCACGCACTCGGCCACCTGGGGACCCCAGCGTGACCGCACTCGCGGTACGTGGCCGATGGACCTCGCGCCGTGGGTCGCGTCTTGCGGGCCCCGGGTGCCGGAGGCGGGCCTCCAGAGGGCGTTCGGCCTTGAGCGCCCGCCCTTCGGCGCCGCCGCCGCGCCGACGCGGCGCGAACATGCCCTCCCCACACAGCCTGGAGAGTCCCAGGTCCCTCGGCGCCCTGCCCTCAGATCGGATCCGGAGGACCACCGAGGTCCGCGGGTCGGTCCCCATGCGGCAGGTGCCGCGGCCGTCGTACACGGCCGACCAGTCCTGGGGGCATCGCCAGCGAGTGCAGCACCACGCCTGGCCAGGCCTGCCTTGGTGGGACGAGGAGCTCTGACCGCCTCCACCTCTCAGGGAAGCTGTCGACGGACGGCCTCGAGAAGCGGAGGTGGCAATTTCCTCCGCCCCAGGGGGAAGGAAAAAGTGTGCAGCACACCCACCAGGAACTGTCCGATCATCGAGCTTCACGAAGTGAATGTGGTCACCAAGCGGGCTCCGACCCAAGCCCAAGCGCAGCCACTCTGGCCCCCCCCCCAGCAGGGCCCGCACACCACATACTGGGGCCCAGGACTGGCCGGCCACCTCTCGGGCGGCCTCTCCCCCCGCAGACCAAAGGCTCCCGGCGAGGCGTTCCTGACGGATCATGCCGCGGCCCCAGAACTCGAGAGGAGGCATGGCCCCCGAGACAGCCAGCTGGGCCCCCAAGCCGCGCCAAGGGAGGCCCCCAGAGGCCCCCAAGGACGCCCCAGGAGTTGCCCTCGAGGCCCCCCGAGGCCTCCCACGAGGCTCCCACAAGAGGCCCCCCAAGAGACACGGGAGAACACGAAGACTCCTGCAGGCCTCTAACACTGGGCGACCACATCATCCCTACCCCTGCAGCACACGTCTCTGAAACGCCTGCGGAGGCTCAGAACCCGACGGGCCTCTGCAGCTGAATAAACCCCACCAGGGGGGCCCGATCCACGATCCCCAGAAGCATCGATCACTTCCCCGCCACCGGTTTTTCGTCCTGGTCCTGGGCTGGATTTTGACAACCCTGGGAACCGACGATGCTCCCTGGAGGCCGAGAATGGCGAAAAACCTCCGCCGGGACTGTCGTCAAAGAGACATCGCGAAGGCCAGGGTACACAGAGGGGGGGAGGCGGAAAGGAGGAGAAGGAGTAGGAAGAAGGGAAAAGGAGGAGGACCAATGTAAACCTAGGACGCGCCAGCGATATTGCAAAAAAACGTCCATCCAAATTCCTTGTTCATGAGTCCTTGCACAAAACGTGCGGAAAGAGACCCATTGCAAAACAACCGTATGGGAATCCTAAGTCGCGCCAGTACACAATTCCTATCATTTCAACGACGCGAATGAACGTGATTGCTGCGTCCTGCCAATCCTGAATCGTGCCAAAACGCAATTAATTGGACGTCAGCACCGCAATTCAACGTGAATGTCGCGTCCTGACACTTCTGAACCGTGCCAGAACGCCTGTTCTTGGAACCTCAACCGCATGGGTCCTCGAAACTGCTGCACATGTTCTAAACGACTACGCGCGACGCTCAGGCGAGAGCCACGCTTGAAGAACAAAAATAGAGAGAGAGGGAAAGAGAGAGAGAGAGAGAGAGAGAACAAAAAGAGAGAGAGAGAGAGAGAGAGAGCGCGCGGCCGCGCCTGCGTCTGAGGGCCCCGATAGGCGGACGCGCGGCCCGAAAGCCCGCGGCAGGATGCGCGGCGAGGCATCGCTCGGAGTGGCGAGGACGCGGAACGGAGCACACTCGACCAGGCAGCGGCTACGCAGCGCGAGGGGCAGGGAGCACGGACAGGAGGATCTTTGGGGCGCGCGACGCGCCCGCACTGCCGCCAAGCTCGCCGGGGCGGGACCTCGGTCGGGGTCGCCGGTCGGGCACGCCTCCGGCGACCGCTTGCCTCCCCGCTCATCTGCGGGCCCTTCGGCGCCCACCAGCCCCTCGACTGCTGCCATCCCCATCGAATGGCGTGCTCGGCGCCGCAGCACGGCCAGCAGCGCCCCGCTGCTGGCCATCTCGCCACTTCTGCTCGTCTTTGTCCCGGGCTCGACCGTCGCGTCGTCTGCGTTCTTGCGCGTGCTCTCGGCCTCCCCGCTGCCCTCCGCCATCGGGCTCGCGCGGCCGCGGGGCCAGAGGGCCCGTTCCGGGACGGAACGTCGGCCTTCAGCGCTTATACACCAGGCGACGCCGAGGGGGGCGCGGCGGAGGAGGCGGCCGCGAGCCCTGGCGCGAAGCGGACCTCGAGCGCCCGCTTCACAGCGGACGGCCGGCGCCGCTTCGGACGGCGCAGCGAACCGGGCGCCCGGCCAATCGGGCCCCGGCGGGCCCGCGCCGCGCCCCGACCACCCGCCGGGGCCAAAGAGCAGCCAGCGGCGCGGACGCGCCCGGCGCCGACTCGGGCCCCCGCCGCGCCTCCAGGACATGACCGCGCTTATCGGAACGGGCCTCGCACGCGAAGGCTGGGCGCGCGACGGGCCCCACCTCGCGGTCTGCTCTGGGATCGGGCCCGCGATGCTCCACGTGGACGCAGGCCACGCGCGCGCACTGGCGCGCTCGTTGCCGGCCGAGTCCGCCGAAGGCAACGAAGGCTCGTGCTCGGACGGCTCGCGCTCGGGCGAATGAGACAGGGTCGTCGCCATGGCGCCATGGCGAACGCGCGAGCCCCGAGCGCAAGCTCGGCCGCACCAGCAACATCACTCACGAAGGAATGACACCCCCGACTTCGGCGGGAGCCCTCGCGCCAGACGACCAAGAACCTCCCGCGCGGGTCGGAGGATGGCACTTCACTCACAGGCCTCGGGCACTTTGGGCCGCAAAGCACCCGCAAGTCGAACAATACAAAATCCCAGTGAGCACGGCCAAAGACTGGGCCCCATGGCAAAGGATGGCCAATGGGGCGAGCAGCAACACCCCCCACAGAGGGGCCAGGGGCCGAAACCTCATCCTCACCATCACTCCTGGGCGCGGCAAAGTGAACAAAGCGGCTACCCTGACATGCATCAGGCCAGAACGAGGACAAGGCTCCTCGAGTGCTGAATTTAGGATGGCAGATATTACACTTAGTCAGCGTGCGGAGAACGACGGGGCAGCGTCCCTGCGCGCACACACGCGCCACACGCTCCTGCGCAAAGGACCGCCCACCCCTCCTCCGCACGCGCCGTGGCCCTGCATCACGACCAACGCGCGCGCACAGACCGCCACGCGCACATGTCGTAAAAACATCACGCTGAATGGCGACCAGTCGCCTGAGACTAGCAGCATGCAAGTCATCCTGTAAAAGAGTTCGAGCCAAGCACTGTTCGGGAACTTCGGCTCGCTTGGCGGCTTCAGCCGCACATGCATCAGCTGCCCTATTCAACAAACGCTCCACACGAGTTAAATAAAGGACGCTGAATTGGGTTTCCGTGGGGGTGGCTTTTAATCCATCGGAGGTCGACCTCACCTTCACGCCGATCCAAGACTTCCCAGAGAACCAACCACAAATCGATCATGTCGCAAGTGGCCAGGGCCGCCACATCACAGGAAGATAATCGCTGAAAATCAAAACCCGTCCAAGGGTACAACGGAGCACGAAAATCAGCGACAGGAGCTCCGCGCGCGGGGACGACTGGTCGGGGCCTGGAAGAGCACCTGCACAGCCACCATCGACACCGTCGAGCGTGGTGGAGAAACGGACGCAAGCCCACCCGCACCTCCTTAGTCTGGCGCCCTTAGCAAATCTCCCCCCCGATCCATCGACCCCACAAACTCCCCCTCCCTTCACCGCCCGATCCTCGAACGAGCCCCAGAACCAAGTCAGATCCAGCGGCTCAGGAAGATGCCCTATAGTGCGATCTAGCGGCATGAGTCCGCGGCACCACAGGGCAGAACAAACATATTGAGCTGCACGCCCCCCTAAATTTTCAGAGTCCGCTACTGTGGTGTCTGGGTTGTACTCGTTCATGCAACATTTCCAAAACCTGTGAGACGGGGTCTCCTCCTCTTCACCACAGCGGACCCAAATACCAGCCACAGACGATTCATGTCCTGCATTATGAAGCCGCTCCTCCGCCCAGCATCCCCCAAAGATCGTGTTCAACAAAATGGACGGCCCGTCATGATCCAAATCACGCCCAATCCTGCCACACTCCTTCCGAACACAAGTAAAGCCAACACCTCCTTCCACACCTGCCCCCATATAGTGACTAGCAGCCGGGCGTCAAATCAAGGCGTCGCACGCGCGCTGGATGGAGCGGCGAAGGTGCAACCGAAAATCAGGCTGGGACAGCTGGAGCAACACGCCACGATCGTCGCGCCAGCGGGCAGGCGAGAGAGGCAGCCATCCTAGGTCGAGCAGCACAGCAACGGTGGCCGCCACAGGACCACGCACTCTGCGCCAAATCAAGTGAGCGGACATGGTAGAGTACTCCTGGACCTCACTTCTCCAAAGCCCAGCCACTTTCATTCTAAGATCGCGCCCCAAAGAAGCCCAGGCAGAGGCAAAACCCTCCAAATGCTCACGACGGAGGCGACAAATGGGGCCACTCCGAGGCCCTCCAAAGGTCCCAAGAATAATAGGAGAACAGGCCCCCGCATGCCACGCACCTGAGCACACCGCCGCCTGCCCACGAACACTCTGGACCTGGGTAGGAGAGAGGCCCACCACTTGATGCCCCCAAGTGCCAACAGCTAACACTCCGGGCCTATATAATTTAGCAGCCTTCTTCACCAGCTTACTTAAAGACCGAACCTTACGAGCCTTCAGGGCCGCAGTACGCCTACGCTTTTTGATGATACCCACAGAGCGCCGCTTACCTGCCGCGGTCGAGGCGCCTAGGTCGCGGGCGGCCCTCGACAACTTCAACTTGAAACAGGCAACCCCGAGGTCATTCAGGATCAGCAACGCAAGCGGCGGGCTGTTACCCACGATGGCAGACTTGTCAGAGAGGATCAGTTCCACTAACTCAAGGGAATGGCCTAGGTGCACAGCAGCAGAGACAAGCTGTCGGCGGACCTCCCCCGCGCTACCTTGGGCCACCTGGGACAGGTCATCGACACACGTCCGAATAGAAACACATGGATGGTAACGATGATGCACATCATGCGAAATCTGATGAAGATAAACCTCGACCCAAGACATCGACTGCATACACCCTGGGAGCACTCCAATGCCCGAGGATATCAGATCGGAGCAAAACACAGACGACTCAAGCATACGAGGGGCCACGTGGATCAGGAGCCCGAGGTAGAGCGAGTGAGGCGGGAAATTCAAATCGCAAGCCACAGCAACTAGACGCGCTGGAACCACAGTGTCGAAAAACTTAGTGAGGTCCCAGTGCACGGCCATGCTCTTCTGGCCTTCGAGCATAGCCACCTCATGGCAGATTTCCCTCCTAAGGGCCGCCTGCAAAGCGGAACTCCCCCTGACAGCACCATCCCAAAACTCCAGATGCCCACGGGGCCAGTCGCCCAGGAAAGCCCCTCAGATTTTACCATTGACCCGATACAGGGCAGGGCATTTACACACGGGCCGCTCGTCGATAGCACTTTAGGGGAGGAGGGCAAGAATCCCCAGGAAAACCTGAGATGGCAACATCATGGCCAGTTCGCACGCAATAAAAAGCTCAGAAAGGGCACCCAGGGCCCGGGGATTCAAATGGAGGAAGTCACGAGGCCTCCAACATCGATCGATCAACTCCTGACATCGGTGCGGATCGATGCAAGTCTAATCTGAAAGCTGAGCTCGCCACTCAGCAGCAGTTTGGTCAGAAGGCAAGCACGAAGTATACTCATCCACGCGCTGTCCCAGGGCGTACAAACGCCAAGCCAATCCAAGTCGCGCGCGGTGGCACCCGCGCTGCACAGCAACCCGCAGCTCAGACAACTTCTGAGAGATAGTGGACCAGGTCGCGAGGACAGGTTAAAAGAAACTGCCAGACGTGATGGGATGATCAGTCAAACTACCCCTACAGCGATAGTACACCTAAGAGTTTTCAACTCAAGAAACATCCAACCATGTCCAGCTCCAACTTCACGGATGGCGCGATCATGTGCCAGGAAACGCTTGAAGTACAAACCTTTGTGCACAGCAGCCCCGACACCCCCACGGGCACCACCCCCTGGGGAGGGGGTCGCGGGCAACAAGTGGGGCCGCCATTTCATGGCGGCGACCTGCCGTTCAGCCCCCATTCAGCTCAGCGGGGAGCTGGCGGCGTTCACAGAACAAAAAGGCGCCAGCCTTAGAATGCACGTCAAAAAGAAAAGACTTAGCCAAAGCACTCCAACGTGTTATATTACAATAGAGAAGCCTCACCTGCCGCTCACTGCTAAAGCCCAGCTGGTGGCACCTGCTGAACCGCGGCCATGAACAGATCCTTGAACTGGATACCGACTGCCTCCGTTGCCCGCCGCAAGCGCTCGGCAGCACGGGCGGCAGACCTCTGGGCCATGAGCTCCTCCATACGGTGCCGGTCCTGCTCCACGATGGCGCCCTCGAGGGAGCGCTTCCTGAGGGCGGCCAGCTCATCGGCAGCCTCCGTAGACAAATCGCCAGCATCAGAGCCAGGCACCTCCGGCGGCGGCGGCGCGGGCGCCTTGCTGGCTGGGCCCATCCTGCAGGGGCCACCGAAAGGCGCCGCGCTGACCGACGGCGCGCGGGGCCGCGCTGGGCCAGCTGACCGGCGCCGGCTGGCATCCTCAGCGGGCGGGCCCGGCGGGCGGGCCAGAGCGCCCACCCACTCGACCGCTGGCCGCTCGGACTCCTGCGAGCCCACAGCGGCGCGAGCTGCTGCCGATGCTCGACGCGACCTCGGCGGCTGGGCGGACGCCTGCTCCTCTGGGGCCAGTATCTCCGTCGGGGAGGTCGAGGCCTCCGCCCGAGGCGGCGGCGCCGGCGCCGGCGCGCGCCTCGAGCAGGCTCGCGCGGGACGGCCCCGCGCGCCAGCGGCGGCCGGCGCGCGAGCCTCGCTCGAGGCGGGCCCCGCGCACCAGCGGCGGCTGGCGCGCGAGCCTCGCGCCGACGACAAGAAATAGCCGCGGACCACGCGCGCACACACACACACAAACACACACACACACACACACACACACACACACACACACACACACACACACACACACACAACGGCGCTCCACAACTAGCGCACACACTCACACTCCGTTGGCGCACTCATGCAAGGTCGTCGATGTCTCTCGACCTGACGCACCCAATGAACTACCGCGCCTCTAGTTTTCATGTTCCAAAACATCGCGGGATGATACGTAGACGCGTCTGTCCTGACCAACGCGCACTGGGACTGCAAGAACCCCCGAGTGGGAGATATCATAACGCAGAGGAAGGGGACTCTGATCGGGGCGAACAGGAACACGGCGGTCGCACAAGCCACTGCCGGTCGTCACACGCAGTCGGCCGGCGCCCCTGGCCTGAGATCACAGCGAGCTTGCCCGCCGAGTTGAACGCGGCAGCACGCGGCGCGCGAGCGCTCCGGCGGCGCCCGCCAGCAACGTCGCGGAGGGCGGACCGGTCGACGCTGCCCTCGGTCAGTCCGTCGGCGACAACGTCGCGGGCGCCCCCCCACCTCGGGGCCGGCGGCGGGCCCGCGCACGGGAGGTCTCGCAACCACGACACGCGCCGCAATCGGAGGCCCATGGGTGAGATCGCAGTGGAGAGGGGCCGAACACCGGGTAGTCGGCTTCGGTTTCGCGCCCGCGTCACGCGCGCCGGCGAAGCGAAGCTGCGCGGGCGCGCGAGAAGACTGACCCCGCCGTCGCTAGGGCGGTTCGGATGCAAAAAATCCAGCCCCCCGGCCGGGCGCGCGGAGGCTCGGGGCGCCCCGCCGCGGCGTCTCGCAGCGCCCCGATGGTGCCCCGCGGCGTCTCGCCACGGGCGCGCGAGCCGACTGATCCCGCCGTCGCTAAGGCGGTTCGGAGGCGAAGGTCCAGCCCCCCTGGTGGGCGCGCGGCGGCTGGACGCGCCGCGCCGCCGTGCCCTGGGCTGTCACGATAAGTGCCCCGCGGTGCCCCGCGGCGGTGCCCCGACGGTGTCTCGCAATGCCCCGCGGCGCCACGCGGTGCCCCGCGGTGCCCCAGCGGTGCACAGGGGCGCCCCGCAGTGCCTAGTGGCGCCCCGCGGTGTCCCGCGGCGCCCCGCCGCGGCATCCTGATGGCGTCCTGGTCGATAGACAGATCGATAGTGAGATCCATCGATAGTGAGTTTCATTGATACTAGTAAGACTGGCCGCGAGGTTGATAGTGACATCGATCGAACGAGACCGATAGCGGGTCGACAGCGCCTGCGGCGGCGGCGATTCGGCAGCGGGGGCGGCGGCGGCGGCGGCGGCGGCGCGGCGGCGGCGACGGGGCGGCGGCGGCGGAGGCGGCGGCGGCGGCGGATTCGCCCCCAGTAGCTGCCCATCCAAAGACGACTGCTGAATATGCTGCGGCTCGGGCCAGGCTCGGGTGCTACGTATGTGTTGGGAGGGCGGGTGGGAGTGAGCGAGACGGCTTGCGGGCGGGGAGGGTGTCTTGACCCCTCCCCCTACCCCCATCCCCTGGACCTGGACGGGAGGGGCCGCGATCGGTTGGAGGGTCCTTTTTTCGGCCCCTGGGAGGGCCAATTTTTGGACACCCCTCACGAGCGTGCCCCCCGATGGGGGGGGCCTCGATCGGGACGCTCCCTCCTTTGATCGGTAGCCTCGCAGATGGCCCCAAGAGGCGCTCCAGGGCTCCCAAGAAAGCCCCAGGAGAGCCCCAAGAGGGCTCCAAGAGGGTCCCAAGAGGGCCCCAAGAGGCACCCAAGAGGCCCCCAAGAGGCCCACCAGCGGTCTCAGACTTGCTGGCTTTGTTTCCCTAGATGGGGCGCTGCCTAGCTATGTCGGCGCTGCCCGCGCGTAAGAAGTTAGCTCCACACAAGGCTCGTTTTGCGTCGATTCCCTCCTGTTGTTCCTTCCGGAGGGTGCATCGCGGTGCATATCCAGCTCGCCTGCGCATTGCATGGGCGCGTAATGCATCCTCGATGAAGCAGCCTGGTCCCATATCTCCAACGTGTTGAGATTGCGTGGCCGCACGTTGGCGTTGCCGCGTGTCGCTGCAGTGCGACCGCGTAGACACGCAAGTGGACATGGTGAGTGCAAAGGCCAGGCCCACGAGCTCAGCATTTCCGATACGCCTCAAAGCGTGGATGCAATCTACTCGATCCAGTTCGTAATCCCCGTTGCTCGCACCGGCATGTAAAGGTTCCTTCGGAGACATCCAGCTCAGCCGTGTCGAAAGCATCCTTCTAACACTTCTGGACCTTAACAACATCTCTTTGGGAATTCCTGCGACCTTGATGTCGTCAACGTGCTTCGTAGCTAAACCACGTGACTCGCCGTTGCGATATTCGGCGATGAACTCATTG